TAACAACTCATTGAACTTTTATTATCTTGCAGGCTGTTTTGTTCGCTTTCGATGTGAGAGTAGTAATGTCATGAGAGCTTCATTCTATACTTGCGGGCTAACTACTAGCTTCCTCCAAATAAATGTATGGGCATTAACATCAAAAGAATTTGAAAGAGTTTCTCGCAGGGACAGAATCAATGGCATTTTGTCTGGAATTTTGCTTTGCCGACTTGACTTCCTTATTTATTTGCATTAGAATAATTTGATAACATTCTTCTTGTCTGATTTTCTAGGTGACAAATTTGATGGGCAGATTGGGGATAATTTGTGGCCTTAGCAATTTCAAAAGAAATAATGATACATGTCGCCTATTGTTTCTTTTTCGAGTAAGTTAAATGGAAGGTCTATAATTGGACGCCCAATCCAAATTGAATCCCTCAAGGATGGCTCAATTGACAATCTATTTTCTGCAATTGACGACTACAGTAATGACGGGATTGGCTATGAGGGAAGTAGTGTACTTCCACCAGCTTGGAGGACTGCAAGGAGAACAGCAAACTTCCGTGTTCCTCATCCCCATATACAGTCATCAAATGTCGACGAAGACTTCTCCATCGAACAAGAAAGAAATATTGAATATAAGAGATTAAACAGTGGAAATTCCAGTCATAATGCAAGCCATTGGAAGAAGAATAACCTTAACAGTGTCGGGCCGTCAATTGACAAGAAGTCCTTTAAAAATAGTGCGAAAAAAGCGAGCTTGTCATCTAGTCAGAAAACCAGAACCCTTTCCTCTTTATCTATTGAAGATAATCTTAGCAGAAAACAATCACTTATCAGAAGCTTTTATCAAATAGATAAGTTGAGTAAACCAGAAGTCTCCGGGCTCACTACTGTAGCTTGTATACCAGTTAAATTAGTATTTAGTAGATTACTTTAGAAAATTATTAGGCCACCTTTAAAGGTGTCGACAAATGTGGATGCGTTGAATACCAGTGTGGAGAGAAAATCGTAGGTTACATGTACATTGTTATAAATTAGAATAATAATCTTGCAGTGGTGATGCAAGTTGGTTTTCTTACTTCCAACTGAATATAAATTTTATTTAATTTTTTCTTGGTATATTGAGGATGAGTTTGATGTATAGACCCCAATTTATTCCGTAGATAGATGAACAAAAGTTAAGCTCTATTTCTAGATGAAACTAATATATGAAACTAACACTAGAAGTTACCATTAGATAATTTGTTTACCGGGTACTATTTTGAATTAATGTTTGAACTCAATTTTATTATAATATTACAACTTTTATGAATGTACGGTTAAATTTGATCTTGTTTAAGTTATAATCGACATTTTTTTAAAGCCAATCATTATCGACTATATTATTTAGAAAATAATAGTGAAATTGTATATTTTATGGGGACACACACCAAAAGAACAACCTATAAGCTATGGCTACACTTTAAAAATGATCCTCCTGATTCAGATATTTAAGGCAACAATTATTAATTGTAGCCGTATATGGCAACGCTTAAAAACCGTCGCCTCAGAGGCCACAAATAATCGTCCCCTATTCCTTTTGTTTAGGCGACGTTTTTAAAAATCGTGCCCAAAGATAATGAAAAAACGTCCCCTAAGACAATAGGCAACGCTCGCACAGGAGACGCCTAGAAAACGTCCCCTATTCTTTTAGGCAACATTTTTCAGAGTTCTGACAACATTTTTGAATGGTTGCTGGAGAGCCTAAATGTTGTAGTGGGGAGCTCATCTGCATCAAAATCTTGAGGTTCATCATAAGTCACATTCACCCCTAATGCATCACCAACCATATCATCTATGAGATTAAATTGTTCATGGTCTTGCAAATGTGATTGACTGCTTGATGTCTCTTTGCCTATCTCAACTCCAATATGTGTTTGACTGCTTGAAGCCTCTCTATTCATCTCTGGCAGTATTTCTCCATTAGAATACCACACCCAATAATTTGGCCTAAAACCATCTTTCTCCAAGTGTCGTTTCACTTCATTTGGGTCACTAATTATATTTCTGCAACCACACTTTAAACACGAACATCTTACCCCTCCTTCGCTTCGACAACATTCTTGAGCAAACGCATAAGTAAGAAATGCAACAACTCCTTCTTTAAAATGTGGTTTAAGCCCACGTCTTCCTGGATACGTTCTATCATACATCCAACTACGATAGAACTGGTAATATTTCATACTGCACATGTCTAAGGTTGTTCATGTTTAAATTTATAATTAAGAAAAGGGGAATTAATCTACCTACAAACTTATGACTATTTACCTACCTAATATATACCATATTATGTTTCTACGAATTTACATGCTTTATAACATTTTAACTTACAAATTATAGAATTATATGTTTCTACAAATATTATGTACGTAATATGTTATTAAAGTATAAAATATTTTACAACTTTAAAATAAAATTATAACATATTTTTACAAATTTACATAGTTTTTACAAGAATATTATGTTTCTTATAAATATATTACTAAATTATATTAATATTTTTATGAAAATGTATATATTATATTTTAGAAAATGTATTACAAATTATATTAATATTTTAGAAAATGTATATATTACAAATTATATACTTTATATAAAAAGTTTGTATATGTAACTTAAATATATTATAAATTATATATTTTTATGATTTAACTCATACTTTTTAAATAAAAGTGTATATTAATATATATAATCTATTCTTTTATAAAAAAAATATATAATATGTTTTCAAATTTAAATAAATAAATATTCTGTTTTTAAAAATAATATATAATATGTTTTAATATTCTGTTTTAAATATGTTTATAAATAAATAAATATTCTGTTTTAAATAAATATTCTGTTTTAAATAAATAATATATAATATAAATCTGTTTTATATTCTGTTTAATATTTAATATAATATAAATAAATAATATTCTGTTTTAATATAATATAATATAAATATTCTGTTTTAAATATTCTGTTTTATATAATATAAATAATATATTCTGTTTAATTATATAATCTATTTAATATTTAATAAATAAACATTCTGTTTTATATAAATAAATCATAAATAATATATAATATTCTGCTTTAAATAAATATTATGTTTTAAATAAATAACATATAATACAAATTTGTTTTATAATATTCTATTTATAATATGTTTATAAATATGTTTATAATATATGTTTTAAATGTGTTTATAATATAAATCTGAATATGTTTTATATTATAACAGATAAATATGTTTTATAATATATATATAATTTTAATATTTTAATTAAAATATATTTTATAATGTAAATATTAAAATCTATTTTATAATTAAATATATATATATATATATATATATATATATATATATATATATATATATATATATATATATATATATATATATATATATATATATATATATATATATATATATATATATATATATATATATATATATATATATATATATATATATATATATATATATATATATATATATATATATATATATATATATATATATATATATATATATATATATATATATATATATATATATATATATATATATATATATATATATATATATATATATATATATATATATATATATATATATATATATATATATATATATATATATATATATATATATATATATATATATATATATATATATATATATATATATATATATATATATATATATATATATATATATATATATATATATATATATATATATATATATATATATATATATATATATATATATATATATATATATATATATATATATATATATATATATATATATATATATATATATATATATATATATATATATATATATATATATATATATATATATGTTATATTCATAAAAATATACATAATTTTCAACAGCCACCAACACATAATTTATTTCATAAAAATATACATAAATATGTTATGTTAAAATTTGTTTTATCAACAGCCACCAACACACATAATTTTTGAAATAAATATTCATCTAAAATTTTAAGAAAAAACAAAAGTGTGTACCTTTTGATCTTCTTCCAAATTTCTAGTTCCTCTTGACAAAAACTTGATAACTTATATTATCCACAGTACATGCAACACACAAATAAATAAATAAAATTAATTAATAAATCTAAATAATAAAATAAACTATAAATACGAAAATAATATACATAAATAAAATAACTTACTTTTATCAAATGGAATACAAATGTTGGAACATGAAGGAGGAAGAAGAAGAACAGAGAAGAAAACCTTTGAGAATGAAATGGGAAAGAAGAAGAATGAAATGGGAAAGAAGAAGATTGTGGGAGAAATGGAGAAGACAGAAGGAATAAATGTGTGGGCGGCGAAATAAATTTCACATTTAATATTTTATTTTGCGAGGGGCTACTCCACACAATGCTCAACGGTCATATGACGTGGCAGCATTTGCGAGGGGCCACTCCACGCAGGGTATTAGTATGCAATTTGCGAGGGGCATCCCCTAGCCACCTTTTGCGTGTGGCAGACCGTTTTGCAGAGTAATGCAGAGGAATAAATGCTTTTTCAGTGGGATTTGACTAAAGTAGGACATTTGGTGAGGGGCGGCCCCTCGCAAATTGTGAACGTAACGTGGTGAGGGGCTACCCCCTCGCAAATTGATCAGCTTTTCCACCAAAAACTGCGCTGAACCCTAGTAAAAGTGCTTTTCAAAATTCAAAAAATTTTCCCTCCTTCATTGCGAGGGGTATCCCCTAGCTAAATGTTTATATTTTTTTCTCCTCTATTTTGCAGTTTGCGAGGGGTTTAACCCCAAGCAAATGGTTTTATTTTAGTGAGGGGTTTTCCCCCTAGCCCATGCCCCTAGCTAATTCAATGTTTTCTTGTAGTGCCAACTCCAGATGATATAAACAAGATCATTTCGGCAGAGATACCAAACGAAGAAGATGATAAGCAATTATATCACTTGGTCAAGACACATATGATTCATGGCCAATGTGGTTTGGCAAACATGTCTTCAACCTCAAACCATTGTTGATCAGGATGGATATCTTGTTTACAGAAGAAGAGAAACTGGTAATATAGTGATGAAAAACCACATTGTTCTTGATGACAGATATGTAGTTACCTACAATCCATATTTGTTGAAGAAATTTCAAGCACACATCAATATGGAGTGGTGTAATCAGAGTACTTTAGTTAAGTATTTATTCAAGTATATTAACAAAGGGTATGATAGAATTACTGCTGCTGTTGTCCAAACTGACTCTGATGGATCTTCTGTTATTAGAAATGTTGAGGAAATCAAGCAATATCTTGATTCTAGATATGTATCATCAAGTGAGGCATGTTAGAGGCCTTTTTCATTTCCTATTCATGATAGGTCACCTGCAGTTGAAAGGTTGTACTTCCATCTTGAGGGCGAAAACTGTGTTTACTATACCGATTTTGAGATGATAGATGGAGTGCTTGACAAACCAACTGTGAAAGATTCAATGTTTACTTCATGGATGGAAGCAAATAAAACATACCAACGATGGAGACCGCGTAAAAGTGGCAATACCATTGGTAGACTAAATTGAGTTCCTCCAAGTACAAGTGAGTTGTATTACTTGAGAATGATGCTAACAATCTTCAAGGGACTAACTTGCTATGAGGATATCAAATACGTCAGTGGAAAGGTTCAGGATAGTTTTAGGAATGCATGCTTTGAGATGGGATTTCTTAATAATGACAAGGAATAGGTTGCAGCCATTAATAAGGCAAAGGATTGGGGTTCCAGTCATTTTCTAAGAAAGTTGTTTATTACTATGCTATTATCTGGTACAATCAATAGACCACGACATGTTTGGGAAAAAACTTAGAGAACGTTATCTGACAGTATTCTATACCAATAAAGACAGAAGACAAATATAAGAGGTAAATAACAATTATAAATTTTTTTCAAGTACATTAATATAATTCTTATTTGACACCTATATATGTTGTTATTTGAATTTATATGAAAAAATGAACTTACGGTAGATATAATGACTTAAAGCTTTATATATAAACCACATCATGCAATATACATGTTTGATATTCAATTACCTTCCAGTATATATGGACCATGACAGTATATTTGGAATGTATATTCTGCATTAGCATGTTTCATATATTGTTTATTTAAGATGTCTTATATACTGATGCAAGCTATATGTATCAGTAAGGAATTGTTTGATATACAAGTTTTTAGGATTTGCATGGGATTAGGATTTAACACTTTCCATAAACTATTTTGTAAGTATGTATGTGTTCATATACAAGTTTTTAGCATTTACATGTAGCCGAAGGATAAACTGCAAAAAAAATCAGTTTTATTTGTATGTATTCGTAAACTGCAGCCGTATCGTATCAATTCAACTGCATCTGATTAATAAACTGCAGTCGGTTCAGTTTTGTAGTTTTGTAGTCATAAACTGCAGCTGAATCATACATACAAAATTGTCATTGAGTTAATGTTTTAATACAATGGCGGTTAAGCTTTTATAAAGTGGCGGTAAAGATTAATTAAATTGTAGTCGTTATATAATGCTCTTATTGGTATATTTTTCACATATATGCAGTTAAGTTTGACTGAGTTAAAGAATTTGACACTCACTGAGATTGAGAATCTGTTGCAATCAAATGGAAGAAGTTTGCATGAGTTTAAAGGTATGTCTTATCCAGATTCATATGTCACGAAGCACGTTGGCAACAGACCGATTTATGACGAAGGTGATTACAATGCCGATACTGAAAGACACAATTTCCACAAACTTTTACATGCCCTTACAAGTTATTGATTTCTATTTTTTTAATTTGTGAAATTATCTTTTTTTTGTTTAAATTTATAGTTTATAATTTATAAATTATAGACGAGCAACGTTCAATCTTTGATAAGATCATAGAAGCTGTCAACAAACAGAGAGGAGGAGTGTTTTTTTTACATAGTTATGGAGGGACTGGTAAAATTTTCATGTGGAGAACACTATCAAGTGCCCTTCGTTTGCAGAAAAAAAATCATTCTTACCATTGCTTCAAGTGGAATAACTTCGTTATTATTGCCAAGTGGAAGAATAACACACTCAAAGTTCAAAATACACGTTCTAACACTTGACAACTCTACTTGCAACGTTGACAAAGACACCGAACATACACAATTATTTGAAGCAACAAATGTGATAATATGGGATGAAACACCAATGTCTCATAAGAACTGCTTTGAAGCATTGGATAGAGCCCTTCAAGATGTAATGAGCAAAAAAGGACTGGTGAATACAATTTTTGGTGGGAAAGTTGTTGTTTTCGTAGGAGATTTCAGACAGATTCTTCTAGTTGTTCCAAGAGTAGGGCGTTCTAATATTGTCCATGCATCGATTAGCTCATCTTATGTATGGGAACATTGTTAGGTATTAACACTAACAAGAAATATGAGACTTCCACAAGGAAAAGACAACACAAGTTCCAATGAAATAGCAGAATTCTCAAAATGGATTCTAAATGTGGCGGATGGTAAGATTTGTGAACCAAATGATGGGTTAGTTGATATAGAAATTTCTCAAGAACTGTTAATATTAAATTTTGATGATCCCATAAGGGCTATTGTTGATAATACATATCTTAATTCTTTATGTTTTGATTTTAAACCGTTTTTTTAGGAGTAGAGAAAAAGTATCGGAGTTTCAATTCGATTAATAAAATAGATGCAAGTTATAGTGAAGCATATGAAGTGCTAACTTCTGAATTTCTCAGTAAATTAAGAACATTAGGGCTTCCAAATCATATGATCAAATTGAAGGTTGGTACTCATATTATGCTAATAATAAATTTGGACCAAGTTGATGGATTGTACAATGTTACAAGGTTAGAAAATCATGTCATCGAGGCAAAAATCATGTCTGGAAAAAACATAGGTAACATTTTTTATATTCCTCGAATGTCTATGTCACCTTCTAAGTCACCGTGGCCATTCAGGTTGATTAGAAGACAACTTCTTATAATTGTCTCATACACAATGACAATTAACAAATCTCAAGGTCAATCACTTGATAGTGTCGGTTTATACTTGCCTACACCTGTTTTTAGTCATGGGCAATTGTATGTTGCAATTTCAAGAGTTAAGACAAAAAGTGGTCTCAAAATGTTAATACATGACAAGGAGAATGTACCGTGTTCGACTACTATAAATGTTGTGTACAAGAAGGTTTTTCAAGCATTATGTTAGTTGGTAATCATTTTTAACTTATCTTTTCTGTTCCAAATTCCATATCCATATTTTACTTTATATTTGTTTGGTTGCTTGATAAAATGTGCAATGAAAAATATATTTTCTTTGGTTTATGCATGAAATTGAATGAATGATCGCAGTTAATGTTGCTGAATTTTTTGGCTATGTCATATGTTATCATTTGGTTATGTGATCATATGTTATTGATGACAATGCTTTATGATGTTTATGCATAAGTTTAAACGATGTTTTGGTGCAGAATTTTACTATGCCAATGTTGAATGTTTGATCATGTTTATGCAAAATTTTAACAATGTTTTAGTTCATAATTTCTACTCATTGTTTGATCATATTTTTTATTGTTTTGACGCGTATTTTTATCATGTTTGGATGCAGGAAACGTTCGTAGCTAAGTTAAAGGAATATGCAAATAGATGAATAATGTATCATACCTCAAAGATTGAAAAATTGAAAGACTTGAAAGATTGGAACATGATGAAAAAGTTGCTACTTATATGGATTAAACTGTCTTTTGGTAATTACTTGATTAATATGTGTCTTAGTCAAGTTTATTAATTTAAGATACTAGTTGTAAAATGATAATTTTAATGTCCGTGTTTAACAATCTTTTCGTTTTTATATAACTGAATGTTGGAAAAACGGTTATTCAATTTTTTATAATTAATGATGAATGCTAAAAAGCTGGTGAAAATTATTAGTAGAATATTGAAACTATGTGAATATCTATGGACTACAAAATAAATTTCATAGTTGACAGTTGAGAAAGCGAAATAGGTGTAAATTCAGACGAGACTCGTGCGATATCACGGGTATGTTACTAGTTTTCTATTAAAACTTTTTCAAAAAGACCGTGACTATAGAAGAATTCATACATGTTACTTTTGTTGAACTAACCTCATATATGTAGTTGAAGTAGAATTCTTTTTTCGTGCACATAGTCTAAGAAAAAGTTTTCTATAAGATAAAGTCGACGAAAAGATCAAACAAAAAAATTCAATATCATTTGAAGAATCATCATAAGCATCATATGAAGAATCTGTAGCATCATATGAAAAATCATTTGAAGTATCATCTAAAGCATTATCAATGAAGCATCATATGAAGAAACATATGGAAAATCAAATGAAAAGGAATGCTTTTCAACATCAAAAGCTAATTGTAAAACATAAAAGTTGTTCAAAACATATGTCCAAATATTTCTTGAAGAAAAATGATTTAATATTTGAGTATTATTGGAAAGAATCTCAGCAAGAAAGAAACATATTCTAGAATTGCCTCTTGTATCAAAAGATTTAAAGAACTTTAAAAGAAAGAGTGTTGAGTTTGATTCTAGAAATAATCAAGGGGAAAAGTCCTTTAAAACTTTTTTTTTGGTAAGAGATAAGTCACATGGTAGATGATAAACTCATAAAACTCTATTTATTCTTATAATAAATGCTAAGTTATCTCATCCTCAATATATTTATTTTTCTACTAACTGTGTGTTGCAGAAAAGTTTTTTCTTTCTCTTCAGAAAAGAGGGTTAGAAATAAAAAAGGAAATGTCAGTAAAAGACTTATGTTAAAAGAACATATCTCAAAGCTAGATACTACCATCTGTTGGGAGAATTATGGTCTTACGTCCTACTTAAATGTGCCTATATGTTCTTATGTTTCATCAGGAAATTCATATTTTTTATATGAGCTGTAACTTATGGATTCTATGTGTTGTTTATTTTTTTCTTACCTTTTCGATAGTACCATAGGGGGAGAAATATACTCTTAGGTAGAGTAGAGTATACTTTTGTACTCGCCAAAAGTACAATAATGAAAGAAAGTATGTTTTCTAGGGTTGAAAAAAATTTGTTTGTGTGACTTTTGTAGAATCAGTGAATGTCCTCCTCAATTCTAGGACTGAGGCATTTATAGAGGACTTTTCGGGTCAGAACTAGAAAGCCAAGAGCGGTTTCCCTCCTCTTTTGACCGAAAAAATGTAGAGGTAATGGAAGACTAGTTCTCCCTCAAATTGTGGGGGAGACAATTTTTCTACTTGAATTGGTCATTTGCTTAATTACTTGCTTGGATACCTTACTAGCTATGTGGGTAA